CGATGGTCCGGTTCCTGTTGTTGTATTCACACATGACTGAATAACTCTTAGAAGTCGACTGGTGAAGGTAGCCTAGATCTAAAACCACCTTAACCAGATTTAATAGAGCCGGTCGCTAGAAGGCGCTGTAAACTGACCTACAACAGAACATGCTGCTGCCTACAGCAGGTGTTTTTCAGCGTTTTCCCCATCAAAAAGCAAACGCACTGGTTTTTCTTTCTTTCAGCACAGCCATCGTTATGAAAAAATCATTTATGAATTTCGGAATCGGTCTTCAGTTGGGGTTTTAGCTTGTAATTCTCTGTCAGTTTGGCTGTGGCTAGGAAACCACCCATAATCAAACGGCCAGTCTTCTCAGATTTATTTAAATAATCGTCGTAGTAAACTCATATTTTACTAAGATGTTCAGAAATATGAAGAATCTAGTTGTCCTCGCTTTTTTCTTGTTTTTCGCTGACGGTAAGTCGTGGAATTCTGTTCATGTTTGGTCACTTTCGTTTCACTCAATGGAAACAGGAAGTGGGGTGCATTTGTTGACATTTAAAATATTTTTGGAACTATTTTATAGCGGTAGTAAGTCGTGTATACACCTTAAATGCTTTGTTTTTGGAGGGAGTATTCCATAAGTGCATCGACACAATAGATATATTGTCCAGATCTACCGCATGTGCTTTGTGTACGTAGTTTGCGTATTTTACGTTTCAGCGTCGTGACGTCGTTGATGTGGGGTTTTTGCATTGTCGCTGTTTTTGCATAAACCATTAAACAGGGCCTTTATTGAGCGAATATTTGTTGTGTGTGCAAACACACGTTTATTTACCTACTTCATTAACATAAAAAATACTATTTTCTGTATCTTCTTTACCTAGCTACAACAAATCCAATTGTTTATTACTGTTACTTATTTACGTAGCCTTTTTGGTCAAATTTGGATTCTGTACTGTTTTATTTATTGTTTATGTATGTTTAAGTTAGTTTTACATAGACCTATTTGAGCATATGACATTTAGTTCGAGACAATTCAGTGATTATAATCTATGTGCAATAGGCAGTGTTGGGGGTAACGCATTACAAGTAACGCGAGTTAC